GCTCCTTTTATTTTTTACCGTTTGTAAAACTGTTTAAATATTATACATTATTATAACCATCTTTAGAAATAATAATTGATTCACTTACATGACTTTTTTTACTTAGAATCGTTTTTTCGAGAGCAATAGTACATTGGTTTCAAGTTTAAAAGACCAATACAGCAATACAATTCACAAATTCTTGTATCTCACCCTGTCATAGTGTTTTATCCGACCTAGGAATCCCGCCCATTTTACAAGTCCATTTTGTCAAAATATCAATGATATACTGATTTAATAAAAATATTTTAAAAAAATATTGTTATATTATCTATACCAGTGGTTCTCAACCGGTGTGCCGTGGCACACTACTGTGCCACAAAATCAATTATATGTGCCGTGAAAAATGTCTGATATTTTAAAATACCGATTGATAAAACTGTGACAGTTAAATGTCAGCTAATTCTACAGATATGTAGGTAAACTGTATAGTGTACACTGCACGGTTAAAATCTTACTGGATTTGGCGTAGCCAAAGTTTTTGTTAACGTCCAGTGTATGAGTGTGCCGCGAAAAATGGTGTTGTATAATAGTGTGCCGTGAACAAAAAAAAAAAGTTGAGAACCACTGGTCTATACATAATCGTGTTCGAAATAAATAAATTATGAAAAATAACGATTATTTCTGGCAACATTATTTACATACAGTACATTTTTTCTGATTTTTTTTTTTTTTTTTTAACAAACATTCACCCTGAAATTGGGGTCTAATTTAACCGTAGGGGTGTGTCATACTCTCGATTACCTGAAAGAGAGTACTTGGACTCAAAACTGTTAACGTAAATAATACAGTATACAACGTATTATGTACTTATATGACGTGTTATATCCGTGTTACGGATATAAAGTGGACTATTGGTAATGTAGGTACATTTGACCCGGTTAAGTATTATAACCGGTAAAAGTGGACGAACTAAAATAACATGTTACACCCGCTTTTATAAAATATTTCCCAATAACGGATTTTTAATTTTAGGCATTGCAGTAGGTATCAATATTACATCTGTAGAGTACACTCGAATAATAACTAAAAGTAAAAGTTATAAGTTTAGTTATTTTATCTGCAAAGTACACTTACATTTTTGATCTTTAAGTGTAATAATATATGCGTATAGAAAATTTCTATATATTTCTATTTTTTTTTTTTTTTTTTTTGATTATGTATTTCTATTGGAAATACACAATCAAAATAACAATTTAATGATTTGAATATAGTTGTATTAATATTGTTCATATTGTTCAGTGGATTCATTCGTTAATCATCATTTTAAAATACACAAAGTCCATTATTGTTATTATTATTATTATTATTATTAATATTATCTGACATTTTTCATTGTGGTCTCTTATAAAATATTATCTAATATTATTCAGAGTATTTTAATAAATTGTACTACGAGTATAATAAAGTTGGTCTAAGCATGAGATTTTGGAGTAATAGCAAAATGTTAATACAACCAAATAACTCTTCACCCATCCATGTGTCTCGCTCGACCTAAGAGTTTCACTCTTTTTAGTCTACAATTATAATTAAATTACCTGAATGAAATAATCTAATGCACAAAATTACGGAGAATCAGATTAGTTTTTAATAAAAAATATGAACCCTTCTCTCTCTTTTTTTTTTTTTTTTTTATACATATTAAATAATGTGAATATTGCTAGATATCTCTATCCGGCCGCGTTCTAGCTGTAGTCGAAAAAATGGCGGCTGGGGGAAATGCAGTTGTACGTAGCTATTGTACGCGTATATCATATATCGTATATCGTAAGTCACACGAAAAATCGAGTAAACCTTTCAGGTCACCAACACACACCAACAAATGGTCGAGAATCGCTGGTCCACAACGACTTCAACGTTTTTATTTTTTTCCCCGTTCACAGCTCGTCACCGAATACGACCCGTAAAAAGGTAACGCACAGTCGACACCCACACGTATGAGAATTTTTTCTGATGTTTCGTGTGGTTCGTCTTCTTTTCGATTACCGGGGACCGCTATTGTACTCCAAATGCACCGTAAAAATATCCGAACAGTCGAAATCGATTTCGCACGGGAAATATTATTGTATTATCACGATATTCTTGTTGTACACTGGATTCGGGGTTTCCAAACCTTTTTTTTTTTTGAGCTCTGGATAACCTAAATTTAAAATTAACAACAATTCATTAATGCCAATATTAAAAGTCATGGCTCGTAAAAAACGGCGTGTGGATGACTTGATTTTTGATATCGTACAACATGATATCTTAAAATAATAGCAAAAGTTATTGTCCTGCATTGGACTGCACTTCCACCTCTCCGATACTTTCAGATATTAAGTACAAACAAATGATGAAAGTCGCAGCACTAGTTTTGTGTACTAAAAGACTTACGTTATTCAACATGTACGGAATGGAGTCCCATATTGGTTCACATAACGACATTGACTAACTTACCCAGTAGGCTGATAACAATAATTTACTCTACGACACGCAGAGATGTGAGATTGAAAAGTTTCAGAAATTTTCAAGTAAAACTTTTTATGAAATTTGAAAAGTTTCAAGGCTATTGAAATGAAAAGTATTCAAACTTTTCAATATCAAAAATTTAATTTCATAATCGTACGCATACGCATACACCAATAGATAAGTAATAGAACAATAGTTCAAATATCTATGTTTGTAATTGTAGTAGGTATTATGGTACCACTGGTATCTGTTATTAATTTTTATCATGCTAATTTTCTATAGTTAAATTATTATTTGCTAGTTGCTAGATAGTACAATAAATCTATTATCTAGTAATAAATAATGATTAGTTTTTATAGTTTGTTTTATACTTTAATATAGTTATTATTAGTAGGTATTCAATGATCGCTATTAAATGCAATTAAAATGGCCAGCATCTAATAATTGCATAATATAAATCACTTTTAAATAACTTAATAATATTATTTAGATGCGTAAAAAAACTATTGAATCATAAACAAAAAAAATCAAAGGTACATAAAAGTGTTAAATCAAAAGTTTCAATTGGTTTGAAAAGTTTCTGAAAAGTTTCAAGAAGTCAGTGAAAACATGAAATTTTATATCTCTGATGACACGTCGTGAGTCGTCCGAATTGATACGAGACATGCCTTCAAACTTTACTTTTAACAACAATAACGTCAAAAAATATGAATACCCCAAATAATTATAATCGTAAAAATATTGTGAAGGATTGATAAATTATCAATGACTCAACTGAGCACTACAACGAGAAAATATACAAGAACAAACAAAAAACGATACATTTTTCATATAACTAATAACGATATATAATTTAAATTACTGTCATCGAACGACAGCAGTGAATAATATATTATCGTGTTCTATTAACATCGATCAATTTGCAAAATTTCACCACCATTAACTTTGTCATGGCTTGTTTAGAAATCTTGCGAACAAGTTTTTGTACACAATTTGTTGAAATTAGCATGTGCGTCCTTGTACACGATCTTTCTTTCGGCGAGACAATACGTGAGGAAAATGTAAAAAATTATTTCCGACAGCCGCTTTTCGACGGATACTGTTGATGGAGGAGCGAGTGAGGAAAGAACCGACGTCTCGAACGATTCACATGCATCACGTGCAGTCACAACACAAACTAAATTAAAATTAAACGTAAATTACATTTGAATACGTATTCGTATTTTCGATCTCCTTCGCGAGCGTGCGCATACAATAATGATAATCACTTTTTTCCGTTTGACGTTGTCTGCTTTTCGCGTTTACCCACGCGCATGCAAATACACAGGAAATAATCTATTGTTTTTTACATATTATAATTATTATTGAATGTATTAAATCACTCGACTTTTTATATTTTTATGTATTTCCTTCAGTGCATTACGAGATGTTTCTTCATCCAAAGCGATCTGCACTGCCTCTGATAACACCTTTGGCCTACAAGCTTTAACAACTATATTTATGTCATGTGGAAGTCCTTCCATTAAACCTGTAAGGATTTATAATGACGTAATCTTGGTTATATTCTCCGTGTCAGAGAATCCACTTGTAATATTAGAAGCTTCCAAAATTTCATAAAACAGTTGTTCCGTGCGATCTGCATATTGTTGTATTGTTTCTTCATTTGTATACCGAAGCATTGTTAATGTTGAGTGCGATTGAGCCAATATTTGTTTCTTTTCTGCTAAGGAATTCAAAATTGTTTGGAGGTCTTGGAATGAATTTACTTGCTTATATCGAATCGCACGGTAGGATTTCCCTACCAACCTAGTCGTAATCCATTTTAGAAATATATCCTTTAACACAGGAACAATATTTGTTATAGGGAATTCACATGCATTTACAAAAGCGTGACTTGAGTCTGAATTTTTCCCATCATAAACTGGAATTAGTTTTAGGGCTTGCTTTATTGGCAAATATGATACTTTCAACGTCCGATAAATTTTTCTTATGAATAGCTAATTTATTGGATCTAAGAAAATATCTTATCGATTTTACAATATTATCAGTTCGATTTAACGATTTTTCCACTTTCTTTAGGATACTTCTACTATGTTTAAATAGTTCTCCACTTGAGTCGCTACCCTCACTTTCTTACTCCAAAAAAAAAAATTAAATTATATTCTCTAATATCACTGTTATTCCTAGCTGACATACAAAATTCTAATGAATAAGATACTCTGTTAATTAAATGGATTCTCGTGTAAAATTAACGGTTTTACAAATTAAAAAAAAAAAAAAAAAAATTACTTTGTTAATCTACGAGTATTTGATGCTCGTATAACATTGACAATTTTTTTTTTTTTTTTATTATTTATAAGTACGGGCTAGGTAGCCCAATGGTTACATACAAGTGAAATTTACATAGTACATAATTGATACAATATACAAACAGTAAGTACATAGTGAATGACAAAATGAGAGTAACAAACAGAAAATTAATATTTTAAGATACACCCCTAGATACACTAAAATTAAATAAGAGAATGAGATGGGTCGGTATTAGCAATCCTCATTATTCTTATAAGCGGATCATTAGCAGCATAATTAGTTTTGCAAACAGGAATATAAAACGGATGGTTAAAACGTGTGTCCACAGAAAGGATTTTAAAATGTATGCCGGAGAGGAGATCAGGTGAATCAATTTTTCCTGAGAGTAATTTGGTAAGAAAAGTTGAATTAGCTTGAATCCTCTTGTCAGCCAACGAAGATAATTGTAGAGAGGAATGAACTGGAGAATAATCATGTGGCTGATGCGGAATTTTCAATATATGTCCTGCAAAGTTTAAAAATTTACGCTGTACGCGTTCTAAGATATAACTGTGACTGATTACATGCGGATCAAACAATACTGATCCATATTCAAGCACGGAGCGAACCAAGGCACAATATAATAATTTGATAAGTGTAATCAATTTAAACTGAATACAAACTCGTTTTACATAACCGAGAATTTTTAGTGCTTTACTACTGGATGATTCTATGTGTGGATAAAATTTTAATTTAATATCAAAAACTATATCCAAGTCTTTGACTGTGCTTCCTATTTTTTGAAGATTATGTCCATTGATATTATAATCAAAGTTTATTGGTGAACATGATCGGTAAAACGACATAGATCTACATTTACGGATGTTGAGAGACAAACCCATTATCGAAGTCAATTGCGCAATTGCATTAAGGTCATTATTTATACGAGTACAATCATTAATAGAGTTATGTACAGCTTCAAATCATCAGCGAATAACAGACAATTACTTTCATTTATAACATCTTTTACGCCATTGATAAATAATGAGAAGAGCAAGGAAGATAAATGCCCCCCTAGGGAGACACCAGACGGAACATCAATGACCCAAGACTTTATTCCATTAACTTTTACAAATTGTTTCCTATCTGATAAGAAAGACATAAACCACAATAATAAAGGTTCACCAAATCCAGCATGAAATAAGACTTTTAGTAATATTTTATGATTTACCCTTTCAAAGGCATTTGAGAAGTCCAAATAAATAAAATCAACTTGAGAATGATTAGAAAATGCAGCAAATACAAATTTTGTGAACACCATACGACATGAAAGTGTTGACCGTCCAGGGCGAAAACCATGTTGTTCATCACACAAAATGTTGATGGCTGGATAGTATGCAAGACAATTGACTCAAGGAGTTTGGAAAAATGATTCTGAATTGAAATAGGGCGGTAATTTGATATATCAGTTACATTACTTGATTTATGTATGGTTTTACAAGTTAAAAAATATTTTCTATTAATCTATTTGATGCTCGTATAATATTAACAATTTTACAAAATTAAAATGATGCTCCGTGTTTACAAAAAAAAAATACTAACGACATAAACAAATTACTTATTTAGATTATACTAAGTTACCAAACTCCTATTTCAAAATCAATGATTATTGTTTCTGGTTGAACTGGATACTTGTTCCGAATTGAAGCTAAAATAAAATTTGTAAACATTTCTTTGTACGTTTTTTGTAATTTATTTGGGAGAAATTCAAAAATACATGTAAATACATTATCTTCAAATTCAGCTCGAATAACGTATAATAATTAACACTCGAGCATTTAAAAGTTCCATTCATAAATTATAATGAGGCTGATGATAGTATAGTTAAGATTCGAGAAGTTACAAATATCAACGTTCTATTTTCACTTTCGCTGTCGTAAATTAAAAATTCTTTTGACTCACCATCCATAGTTCTTTATCATTTCTCGGTCAATACAAATACTTTTGGGTTCTTCAGGAACATTTTTACGACATGCTCGATGGATAGTCCTACGTATAGAATCAGTATTTCCTATTTTATTACATACGTATTTTGTAATACGACCAAAAATAATTGAACTCTTAATTATTTATTATAAATATAATAAAATATGCAATTTATAATTATTTTTTAGATTAAAATTATACTAACCATTATTTTCATGAATTACAGACAGAAGAATTTGATTTGTTGATTCTTTACCAGTAATAGATCGGCATTTCATATTAATTAGTGCAAGGTTTTTCAGCTTCAATATTTTATCATTCGAATCGTGGTTATGATCAGTCCATTTGTAAATAATTCATATTATGACCAAAACATACAAAAGTATTTTAAAAAAAATACGATAATATTATGATTTAGGTATTATGAAAATAATATAATTTATAACTTATAACTCCCCGGTTCATAGAGGTTTGTAGTAACTTTCCCCGTACAAGTAACTTTTGAACATTTCCAACGTATATTAGATTTGTTTTTTCTTAAAATGTTATATTCATACCCATTTTAAAAAAATTTTGGATTTAGTTGTTTGGTTTTTGTTCATTTTATATTGTCATAAAGTGAATAGGTTATGTAATTTTTCTAATACTGTGACACCAAACACATGTCTCATACTGATCATGATTCGCAATCTAAAGTTTTGAGCAATTTAATTTTATCTTATATTTTAAAATATATTTCCCGGTTTATTTATACCGTACAAAACGTCTGCGATCGAATTTTACCAATTCATTATTACCGTACAAAGTGTCCGCGATCAACTTGTACCAATTTATTTTCACCGTACAAAGTGTCCGCGATATACAACTCAAACAATAGATAGTACAAATTGTCCGTTTACCTCCCTGCCAGTATACTCGTATTATTACTGTAATAGACCAATTAGGTAATGAATTCAAGGGAAAAAATGTTGTTAAATAACTTTTTTTTAAATGTTTTGTATTGCATATTTACGAAAACGACTTCATCAATACTTTTTTCTCGTCGAAGTGTGATCGATCATTTTGTGAGGGGTTGTTGTATAAATAATTTATCATGCCAGCAGGTGTATAACAGGTAACGTTACATCGGAATGGGGAAAGTTAAAGGAACAACGTGCAGATCCTTCACATACACACACACACATAACATGGTGGTGGTTATCGTTACCGTAGTACCTTCGTGTTGAATTCCTATTGAAAAATTCGTTGTATCATGTTAATTTTATAACGTAACAATGTTTGAATAAATGCATACAATGTAAATCGCGTCGAGTGATTTTCATAGTACAGCGAATAGTTAGTTTTTCATCTAATACACACACACACACAGACACACAGAGTGTATTGAAATAACACCAAATCCCTTTCGTTTAAACCAATAAAAGGGTTCATGTTCTCCGGTTAACGTTTTTTTTTTTTCAAACCACCGTTTGAGTATTTTAATTATATAGGTTACTTTTCATTACACGCATACTCAAATACGATTTTTTTGTGTACTGTTCATGCGTATTTACAACGAATTTCGTTTCGTGCCTACGCATTTCATTTGATTATTCATATATTATACTTTCTTTTTAGTAAATGGCAATTATATTATTTCATTAATAACAATACTAACATTGTTAATATTATTTCTGAAAAATAACTAAAATATCAGCCCATTAATGACGTTTAACATTCGGTATATTCGTTTATTTCGTTATCAGTTTTGTTGATCGCATGAATTATTGATCGTTCCGATTTTAACGTGAATACGTGCCTTTAAGTCCCAGTTTGGCTGAATAACTTAAATAATAACGTGCATCCGGTAATTTTTTGGCTTGCTTACCTACGTCTTCAAAGTGAATATTGTCTAATACTTCAGTCTCAACACACCGTGAAGGTAAGAAGACCAAATAATATACTTCGTTTTACCATTTCAAGCGACGACAATGATAGCGTATTCATTGTGACCGCAAATACCCACAATGATTTAGTAAATCTACTTCACTGTGGTTATAGGTACCACAGACTTCGCATAGACATATAAAAGGCATCACAAACTTCTTCGCATTTAATGATGTTCTAAATAAAATCACCGTTCTAAATCGATTTAAACGTGGTCTTCTAAGGTATGTCAGTGATATAATTTAGCTGAAATAAATTGTGTAATTGTGGTAGTATTATAAGTAAATGCTTGGAAAATTAACAAACGGTCAATGATGGAATTGTGTCAAGAGAAAAATATTTTAGAAATCTATGAGACAAAAGTCGACAAATGAGTGGGTTATCAGTTTTTAATTGTGGTTGGAACCAGGACTAATGTGAACGAGAAATTAATACATTATTTTATTTTTTATTTTTTGATGTTTCGGTAGATATTTTATTAAATAAGATTATGTATTTTATGCGAATACGTGTTTAAGAATTTAATCGTAATTATATTTAAAGTGTACATATGTAGACTTTCGCCTGGTCGCAATTATCAGGAATATGAACATACGCCGTTGCAATCACCAATCATGCTGTGTCAAACGTGACGAGACTCACTAATCTAAAGACAGTAACAAGAATCGCAGTATCCCGGCTAGATGCGCTCATTGATTCAAGAACTATACGGCAAACTTCATGGGATTCAAAGCCTATGAAACCATTCTGAAATGCCACAAAGTTAATCTCACAAACTCTCAGAACAATATCCATCGTTATATCGATAAGACTTTGAAGTATCACTCCAATACGTATTGCTGCTACTTATGGTCTTAAATCTAATAACACTCAGAAACATTCATATATTTTCCATTTTGTCCAAATTCTACTTCGATTTTACTTATTAATTATCTTATCGCCGTCATATTAAATAAATTAATAATTTCATAAATATTTGTAATTATTTCATTGTCTATAAAATTAAACACTTGCTTACTCTGTCTCGTTGTGTACCTATTATAATAACATTCGTAAAACTTTATATATTATTTTTATATTAATTGTAACCTATAAGTGTATTGTATTTTATTATTTCACTCATTATTATTACATTAAACTTAATATTAATTGTTATCTCAAATTGCTGAGTTGAATTGTTCAATGCAGAAAGTTTTTCAAATAAAAAATAATAATTATAAAATTGCAGACGTATCACTGAATGAATTTATATATAATGGCAGTTTAAAAATTTGTTTTGGTTTGTCTTTTGTAGATACGCAAAACATATATTTTACTATATAATATTTAAGTTCTATAACATAATTTTCGTTCTAACGTAAAACTGCATCAAAACTACTTCAAAAGTGACGTTCTATTACTCAATAGTTTTACACTACAGTCATTTGGGTATTAATTTTTCCGATAGATAATAAAAAATTATTTAAATATTTCTTAAAATAAAAGGTTTAATAAAATTATACGTACATACATGAATGTATTTATTTGATTTGCGTTCGTTATTATGTAATTTGTACTTTATCTTATAATCATCGAAAAATTAAAGTTAATTTATTATTATTATAATTAAATTAAAGTTTATGAAGTTAAATTAAATTGTCTTACTTACCATATCATTAGATCACTTTACTGATATATACTTTCTGAATTATTTCGATTTATTTTTGTTGTGACTAGTATAATTGAGTACGATATCTATCAGACAAATAATTTTACATGTCCTGAGATGGGACAGTGTTTTTCTGTGATCTAGCTATACTAGATAATTTAATACTGAATCAGAAGTTGGATCAAATGTCTTATTAATTCGAATATAGTAGAAATATTATATACACGTCATCTTTAGATTTTTTCCTCCTTTGGTTTTCCTTACCCGAAAGAAAACAACAAAACAACTCGTGAAAACGTATGCAACTTTTAATATTTATTTTAATAAAATAAATGTTTTTAA